GCCCCCCGCCGCCGCCGACCTTGGCCCGCGGCCGCCTGTGAGCCTCGACCCGCGCGTCTCCATCTACAGCGCGCGCCGCCCGCTGCTCGCGCGCACCCACATCCAGGGCCGCGTCTACAACTTCCTCGAGCGCCCCACGGGCTGGAAGTGCTTCGTCTACCACTTCGCCGTGTGAGTATCGCCGGCGGCCGACGCCCGGCACCGAGGGGCTTTCCGCGGGGCTGGGGAGGGGTGTTGGGGTAGCGCTGTGCCCGTGACACCTGCCGCCGCACGGACCATGGTCGGAGCTGCGACTGGGAGCAGCCGGGAGGGAAGGAAGAGGTTAATAGACAGAACAGAAACAACGTGGAGCCTGTCCCTTGAAGTTCAGGGCCGTGTGGGTCTGAGCCTGTGGGGGCGGGCAGTTCCCGGCTGGCCCTGCCTGGGCATGTGTGTGGGGGGAGCCAGCTGGGGAGGGGTGCCAGAGCCCAGAAGTTGGCTCCACTCCTCGCTGGAGGGAAGGTCCAGGTGTTAATCCTTCTGGGAAAGGACATGTGCGGGGGGAGCTTGCTCTTGGGTGCAGGGGAGAGGATTCCCCAGGGTGGCCCTGTAGGGAAGACAGGAACCCCTAGAGGGGAGGGCCCTCTGCTCCTGCAGCAGCATCACAGACCCTCCCAGGTCAGGTCAGGCCTCTTGGCGGTGGTGTTCCCTGAGAGGTCAGCACGGAGGTGGGGAGTGCCCACTGCCCCAGTTGAGGAACCAAGCTCATGAAAACTTGGATTGAAGCGAGGAGCCTGGAGGGGGCACGCGGAGGGGAGGGGTTGGGCCACGTTGCCAGCTTCAATCAGAGGAAGCTGTGCACGGGGAGAAGGCAGGGCCCTCCAGGCAGCACCTGGCCCCTGCAGTTACCCAGGTGCTTCTAATTCATGGTGTGGCGCCTGCGTGAGGCAGGGCAGGGCAGGGCACTCCGTTTCAAAGGGACAGGGGCACGAGGAAGTTACCTCCTCGGGGCCGCCCTCCTTGCTGCCTGCTTGAGCCCTCCCTGCCTTCCATGGTCCTACTTCCTGGCTGCCCAGCCCACGGCCTCTCGGTATGGTGCCAGCCTCTATCCTGTGAGCCTTCACTCAGCCATCCCCACGCTGATTGCGGGGGCTCGTCCGGGGGCCACACGGGTGGCCTCCCTCTGGCTTCCTAATGGTGGTGCCCGGCGCTCATCCCTGCTGCCTTGGCTGGCCTCGGGCAGGGGAGACCTGGCAGAGGAGCGTCCAGGTCCCGTTTTCTCCCACTGGCAGCTGCCACCAGGGCCCCCAGGATGCAGCGGAAGCCAGGCTCCAACCAGCTTGGAGCATCATCTCGGGCAGGGGCGGCGGGGCGGGGCAGCCTCAGCTTCTCACCTTGCTCCGCTGTGAGTGCAGGTGGTATGGGGGTTGCTGCCCTCCCTGCTGAGGGGCAGGCAAGTCTGGGGGTCAATGTCCCTGAAAGCATGGGTGGACCACAATCTTCAAGCCTCTTCTCTACCCCAGCCTCCCAGAGTGTGAGAGGGCACGTGAGCTGTGACCGTGGCTGTGGGAGACGGGGGCCCTGCCCGCAGCTGCAGCAGCACTGGCTTGTCTTGGGGTTTGGGGGAATGTTCCTGTGCAGTGACCCCGAGGGATAACCCCCCGAGTCCCACACCAGCCATGTGAACACCCAGCCAACACCAGGCTGTGGCGCTGCTGTGCATGTGGGCTGCCCGCCTCCTAGCCCTCACCTGCTGGATCCCAGACTCCCTGAGATGTCCAGGGTGGGATGGACCACACAGCAGGGTCCTGGGGAAGACCCTGCCCAGCTGTTTCTCCATCCTGGGGCCCTGCACGCCAGCTCCAGGCAAAGGTGGGGAGGTGTGGGCAGAGGATTGCCAGGCGGTCTGCAGTGCCCCCCACCCCCGGAGGGCCGCCAGGGTGAGGGGCCTCCAGACACACCACTGGTTCGGGTCCGGGGTTTGCAGGCCGTGGGCACGCGTCGCCCTGTGGAGGAAGAGGGCTCGCCGCACCCCAGAGGAAGTCTCTGCTTACACTTGTGTTTTCTTCCTGATTCTGATTGTTTAGCCCTCGGAAGTTTGCTCAGCAGAGTCTGCCTTTGCCCAGCCTCCCCAGGAGCTGGTGGGGCAGGGGCGGCTTCCCCTCGGGGAGCTGGGAAAGGGATGCTCCTGAGAGTGGCTGTGTGACCTTGGGTCAGTCTTTTCCTGCTCTGGGCCCTGTCCTGCAAGAGGTGTGCTGTGGCCCTGGGGAGTGAACACCCGCCACATTCCCCCCGTGCTAGGTGGGGCTGGAGGGGGACCCTGGCCAGGCAGGGTGCGTGGCTTGTTTGGGGCCTGGGAAATTGCCCCCTCACCCCTACGTCTCCAGGAAACTCACAGAGCCCAGGTGCTCTCTGAATCAGCCAGTCTCTTGAGGGAACCTGGCCTTCGAGCTGGGACTGCAGCTTGTGGCCAGTGGCTGGAGCGTGGCCATGGCCCTGTGAGGGGGGGGTGCACAAGGCCCGCTCCAGCCCTGGTGTCGCTCTAAGGAGCGTCCAAGATAGTGGCAGAGAAAGAGCTGTGTCCTTGGTGACGTGGATTGTGAAACGTGCAGGATTATTGTTGCGACCCGGGCCTGGCTTGGTTTCCGGCCCGAGAAGGACGAGCCTGGCCTTGAAGGGCCCTGGGCGGGCTGGTGGGTGTGGGAGCTGCTGTCCTGGCGGGCCCTGCAGGGCTGGGCACACTCTCCCAGGCGCAGCTGGGGAAGCAAGCCAGGATATCCTGTCCCCCCCATCGGGGAACCCCTGCTCCGGCTGAGAGGAGAGCAGCCCTTCCTGTGCGCGCCTGGCCTGCCCTGTCTGCTGGGGTCAGGGAGCAGGATGCTGCCGCCCTGAGCACTGCCCCCCAGGCCTCTTCTGACCCCCTTCGTGTCCCCACCGTGCGTGGCTCCCACTCCAGCTGAGGGCACAGAGGAGTCCTGGCCTCCTGGCTGGTGGCCCTTGGCTGGGATCATCTGGGTAGGGAGCATCCCTGCCCTGGCCATGAGGCGGGGCCCCCCCTCTGGAGGGCAGGATGAAGGCTGCCCCCAGGGGACCACATCCCTCTCCTGAATAGCGAGGAGCTTCCAGGACAGGAGCCCCAGGAGCCCCTCCTCCCCTCTGCTCTCTCTTCCTCCCTTACCCCCCACCCCCCAGCTCTTGGGGGCTGCAGGATGACACGATACATGGAGATTCTTGTCTTTTCCCAGCTGCTCCTCACCACACCTACTCACGCAGCCGGGCCTCGGGTCTTGGCCACCACTGTGGCTGACTGACCCTGGGCGAGCGCCTCCCCTGTGCCTCAGTTTCTCCATGCAGGTGCACAGCACCCCACTCGGTCAGCAGCTACTCTGGTTGCCAAGCTGCTTAGAGATCCGGGTGCAGCTGAGTTTAGGGAGGGGCCTGGGAGTGAGTGGAGAGCCCCCCCCCGCCCCGGCTCACACACTTGGCTTCATGCCTCCTGTCCCCGCCCTCCCGCCACCCTGCCTTTCCCGGGTTCCCAAGAACTTTCCAGTGGCTTTGGCGGCATTTCACAGGGTGCATTAATCATTGATGGCGCTGGAAGCTGGCCCTGGCAGTTTGTTAGGCTGGCTGGCCCTCCTTTTTAAAAGAGGAGGCCAGTGTGTGGGCTGCGTCCCCCAACTCTGTGGCTCCCGGGGCCCGCCTGCCCCCAGGCTCGGGTGTTAGGGTCCTGAAGTGCCCAACAGGCAGTGATTCTGCAGACCCTGGAAGGGAAGCCAGCTAGGGAGGGTGGAGGGCGCGGTGGGCCGCATGGCGGTCTGCGTGGCGGGGTTGGGGTTTGGAGGAGGATGGGCTGTCCGGTCTCTTCCCCCCATCCCCTTTGAGACTCCTCCGCTCATTTGTCAGCCCCCAGTTCCTGATAAAACCGGGAATTCCTTCTGTTGCCTCTCCCTGTGTCACCTTCCGCAGGGCCTGGTCCCCTGGCTGTCTGGAGACACCTCACTGCTGCCCCAGACCCAGCCCGACATTTCTGGACCCGCTGCTGTCCCTGTGTCAAGCACCTCCTCATGGCCTGGCATTAGTTGTGGGACCACAGGCATCCCTTACTCGGGAGCCACCGGCTGGGGGGGGACCCAGGAGACCTCGAGGGCATGAGGGAGGTGGTGAGAGGAGAGGGGCTGGTCTGGGGCTGGAAGGAACCCCCCAGCGTGCACTGAGGTCTGGGCCCAGGAGGCCGCCTGGCTCGGGATGCAGGGCTGGGTGGGCGGTACAGGGGGTGGGGACACGGGGCAGGGACGACGCTTCGTGTCCGAGCTTTGCCCCTTGGCTGGGCCACCTTGCCAGGTCCCTGCGCTCTCCGAGTCTGCGTCTCCTCCTCTCTGCAGGCTCGGTGGCCGCTGGCATCTTCCGACAGGGCTGTTCAGGTGGGAGAGAACGTTCACCCGTGCCTGGCACTGAATTGGCGCTCCCCAAGAGCTCAGTGCCCATGGCCTTGGCCTGCACCCGGGGAGTGCCAAGGGCGCTGGAGGGACGGGGGGGCCCCTTTGCAGTCACGGTCCCCATGTGCTGGGACTTTCACATGCAGTGGTGTGTCTCAGGATTGGGGCTGGGGGAGGGGCTGGGGCACTCTGTCCTGGGGAGGGCGGGTGTGGCGTGTTTCAGGTGGCCACATGCCGACAGGACAACCTGCCTCTGGGCGGGAGGGGCCAAGACACGGATGCCGCCAGGCCCCGGCTGTTGAGGGGACAGCGGTACAGGCCGTTTTGTGTGACGGAGGTGTTGGAGTGTGGACTCATGGTGGGTTCACACAGGTCCTTCTGTTTGGGTCAGATTGTGCCCCTCAGAAAGATCTGTTGGAGTCCTGACTCCCAGTACCTGCAAATGTGACTGTGTTGGGAGATGGGCCCTTTAAAGAGGTGGTTAAGGTTAAATGAGGTCATTGGGGCGGTGACCGGTATCCTCATAAGAAGAGGAGATCAGGACACAGACACACTCAGAGGGATGACCATGTGAGGTCACAGGGAGGAGAGGGCCATCTACGCGCCTCGGAGAGAGATCTCAGGAGGAACCAGCCCTGCGACACCTGGATCTCGGACGTCCAGCCTCCAGGACTGGGAGACAGTTCAGGACCCCGGTCTGGGGGCTTTGTCTTGGCAGCCCCAGGACACTCACACACCCCTGCCTGGCGGAGCCGA